TGTGTACATTTAAGAGTTCTGACTTAGTTCACTTTGCATTTATGAAGAAGCTAGACTTACACTGAGAGCAGAGAAACTTCCTATTCGCACCCAAAAGTGTAAATAACAGGACTTAGTACTTTTTTTTTTTTTTTTAATCTAGTATTATTAGCTTTATTTCAGCAGAAATCAGAAATGGTATCCAGGGTCCCAACGTATATATTTTGAAGAAACAGGTGCTTTCTGAATCTTTTGGAAGTAACAGGAGCATTAGCTTTTAAGAGAGGTTTTCAGAAAGAATAGCATTCATCCAATTTAAGGTAAACAAGGACAAAGAAAGGTAAATTTCATTTTTTGTTGTTGTGCCAATGCTTGTTGGCAAGCCCCTCCCTCTGTGCCATGGAAAAAGTCTCTGGGGCTTAAAGAGGGGGAAGAAGTAACAGAACTGGGATTTGCACTGTGTTTCCTAACACCCATCCAGTGCTTGCCCACTGACCCCCCACTCCCGCTGTCTGTGTGGATGTACAGTGCTTCGCATGTTCAGTTCTCATCTTCTCCTGCACTGGGCCCTGCCTCACCTGCCTCTGGTCCCCAGTGCCTCTGGCAGGCCTAGAGCTTGGTGTGCAGTGAGGGACTGTGCGATCACTGGGCTCAGGAATGACTGAATGAAAGAACAAGTACTACCTTTTATATGTTTTTAAAAGCTTCTTCACCCCGCTGAGAGGTTTCATTCCATGGAAGCTGTATTTCCCCCAAAATAAACCTGAAGTGGATCAAAAGGATTAAAAAAAATTCTACTCTTCCCACAAGTGAAAAAGTTCCTTTGTTGCTTAAAATATCTGCACCAGATCTTACGATGCTGTCTCTAGCGCGAGTGCCTGTTATTGTGGCTAATTTGGTCACATGTGTTTGAAGGAGAACAATGCCTCTGAAATTTTTAAAAGCAAAACAGCAATCTGCAGCGTTTGTTGTAATGAGATGCAAATTGCCAACATTTGGGAGGAGAGCAGACTAAAATTTGCAAGGAAGTGTTCCCCTCAAAGGAAAAGCACTGACGCCCTCCCCTCTCTCTCCAAAGAAATCCCATTTTCTGTTCTTTTTCTTTCTGATTCTGTAACACTAAACACTCGCTTGCCCGACTGAATCATTCCTTCATTTATCTCCCTCTCCTGAGTCTCCGTTCCGTGGCTCCCAGAGGCATAGTCAGTCTGCAGGGTGGCTAACGGTGAGCCCCACATTGCAGGCAGGAAAGTGAGGCTCAAGAAGTTGAGGTGACTTGTCTAAGGTCATGTGGCTGGGATTCACACCCACGTCTCCTGACATAACCCTTCCAAGAAGTGCCTTTGCTGGTCTGGCCTCCTTGCTGGGCTGAGGCACCAGGTACCTTCAATGCACGACACCAGAGAAAGGCAGGTGCGGGGAACAGGGCTAACAACGAGCAGCCCCTGGTGTTACGCATTGCTGACCGTGAACATTAGGAATTAGTTTTCCTTAAGAGCCAGAACTGAATACATCCTGGGAGGCCAGGGTGAGTGGGGGAACGAGGGTGTGCTGGAGAGGGGAAGGGCCTGCTCTGAGCCGGGCCTGTGCAGGGCCCTTGGGGCTAAAGAAGGCCAGCGGGGCCTCTGGCTCAGAGCAGCTGCGGTCCAGCACTGGACCAATTGAGCCCCGAGTGTAACGAGTGTGTGTGGGAGGGTGGAGGGTGAGTCACTAGTCCTTTCTTATTTTGGTTAACTCATTTAACCTGCCATCTGGCCAAGTTGCTGTCATTCCTCCTGTCAGGTGAGGCAGCAGGTTAGGTGATTATCAATGTGTAAGTACCTGCGGAGGATAGAATTTGAATCAGGTGCTGTGCTGACCCTGAACTCTGATAGTGTTTCCCAAACTTTTGACATATGTGTACCCCTTCTATAATTTTTGTAACACTAAGTACCCCTCATACTCATGAGAATGGAGAATTAGGCGCAGCTAAGCACGGTGCAATGCATACCCCCACCAAACTCTTCCTGTACCCCTGGGAGTACGCATACCACACTTTGGGAAACACTGAATAGATGATCCTTGCCCGCCCTCAGGCCTCACGTCTAGTGCTGGGAGGCAGGAACAGAAATGGTGATTACCATAGGGAGCCTGAGGAAGCTCATGGCTCACCTAAACAGAAGTGGCAACTCCAGATCTTACTCTGCAGTCTCTTCAACCCCAAATTCCAAGCCGAGGGGAGGAGAGACTGACTCAGCTCTCTCTGAAGGGACAGGCAGTCTCATGGGAGAGGTGGCATTGCAGTCCAGCCTTCAGTCCCTGGAGGAGCTTGGAGAGGTGGACTTTACTGGGGGTAGAATGGCCTAGGCAGAGGGATGGGTGCACAAGCAGAGACTGGGAGTAGGAAGGAAGGTGCATGTGTGGGGAGGGTGGGCCAGCCCACTGGGAGTGGAGCCTGACTGTGCACCTCTGATGTCCCTTACCTGTCCCTCCATCGCCATCTGACTGGTCCTTTCTCCTCACCAGATGGTTCCAATTTCTGTTGGACAACCCTGGTTTCTACTTCCTGAAAATGCCTATGGATGTTTCAAACACACACAGAAAATATTTCAGACGTTTGAGGACAGCTTCCCATCCGCCCCTGCCTCCACCCCCAAGCACCTCACCTCAGCTACAGGCTTCATTTCAGAATCTTTTCTCCAGCCCATTTAATTAAGTTTCTTCTTCCTCAATTCCTCGTTCCCCTGTCTTGTGTCATGAATCTACTGAGAGCCTGTAATGTGCTGGGCACTGTCCTCAGTGCCACGACTGTAGACAAATATTTGGTGTTGAAGAGCTTCACAGGCTGATGTGGACAGCGGTTGGCTGCAGACATAACTTGCTGGAAGTATGTGTAATGTAGAAACCGCCTACCTGGTAGTGATCATAGCAAGGCCTCACAAAGGAGACACCTACGCTTCACTCTGAAGTCAGACTAGGGGCCTGGCAGACAGATGAGGTGGCCTTCAATCCCAGGGCCCCGGACAGCACTGCATATGAGGGGCCTGAGCAGAGGTGTGGGGAAGAGCAAGGCATGAGCACCTGAGGTGCAGAGGAGGCTGGTTCTGGGCCTTAAGGAGGGTCTGGGGTGTGACTTCATTTGGAGGGTAATGGGGAGCCTGAGCAATGGGGGACATAGTCCTGTGGAGACCCCTTTGGCAGCCTTTGGGGGATGGATGGAGAGAATCAGAGTCGGAACTGAACTGGATGCCTTCTCCTGTCCCACACCTTCCTCTCATTGAAGGAGACTGAAACTTAGAGGAAGGACACAGTCTTACCACAGATGACCTTGGGCGCTGGCTGCGTGGACCTCCTCTTGGCCCATGTCTTCCGCCTGTCACTGAAAGTCAGAGCTGGAGGAAACCTCTGGTGCCCAGCCAGCCATGCCATTTAGGGGAAACGGAAATACTGCTTCCTGCTCTAAGGAAGATCAGACACTTCTCTGAAGTTTGTTTGCATCTCCGAAAATTTACCCTGAGATCTCACACAGAGGAAAAGCTTTGGCATCTGTTTCTGAAACTTTGGAACTGTTCATTCATTGTTGTCACTCTTTTACTCATTTAGCTAACATTCCGAGAGCACCTACTTGGTGCCAGGTGCTCGGGACAGAGGCAAGAGTCCGACCAAGGCCCAGCTCTTGCGTAGGTAGTGCACTACTGGGAGATGCTGTCAGAAAAATTAGATGTCATCAGTCCTCCACTCTGCCAGCTTCTGAAGCTGCCAGCCACTCACCTGGGGATGCACAAGGCAAGCACCACAGAGCCAGGAGGGGACTCTGCACTTCCCCTACAGGAAGAGCCAAGCCTCTCTGCTCCCGGCCATCTTGCATTCAGCTTAAATTGCAGACTCTGTCATGCAGATGGCAGCTGCCAGCAACTCAGGAATGATATTCTTGTTGTGGGAAGGCCTGTCATGAGGAATTTTCATAATAAAATTACCAGCACCGTCTCTGCCACCAGCGAAAGTCTAGAATGTGACGACTGAACATAGAATCACAACCAGATTGGTGGTCAAGTCTTCAGTATGTAAAGAGCTCTTTACCGAGTTGTCCACGTGGTTAGGGTCAGAGAAGTTTCCACCAAGAGATTCATCTGTTACTACAATTATATGCACAGCCAGGGGGACTTGCTGTGGCAACAGCTAAATCTGATCCCAGTCAACTCCTGAAATGGCTGTCTGGGGTTGAATTTCCAGGTCGCTCCACTCTCCATTGGCCCTCAGAGTTGCTCTCCTGCAAGTGAACCAAGTCATTCAGCCTTATTCACTCATTTTTATCCCGCTCCTCTGCCCTTTGGTAATCAAGACACAATAGGTGATTTAAAAAGCAGTCCATCATTTTTACAAGCTAATGGAGTAAAGCATATCCCCCATAGAAACCACCACCATTTATCTAGCTTTCTTTCCCTGTTAATCTGCACGTAATTTGTGTTGATTGCATTAAAATAAAAATCAGGGTAGCTGCTGGATCAGGCAGTCAGGGGCCTAATCTGTGTTGTGTTTTAATTTCTTGGTTGAGATGCTCCTGTTTAGATACTAGGTCTTGGGGAGGGGGAGGACTTTGCATTTCCACTTTTCCCTTAACCTCTGTTCGTCTGATGCGGTCCGTTCCACTGTAGGCTGGAGAAATGGGGGTTTGGGCAAATACACAGTCTTCCTATTACAGTAGATGCACCCCTCTCCACCCAGTCTTAGCAGGACTCTTTCCTGTGCAGGAAACGGAGTCCCCTGCCTGTCCATTAGACAGAGACACCAGGAGGAGTGCTTCTCATTCATACGTAGAGTCTAGTCCATCCTCGTCTTTCAGTTTTCTAACTTTTTGCTTGTGACATTTATGCCTCATGTTAGTTTCAAGCCTGGGTTTAAGTGTAGTCCGATGGACAAAAATAAGCCATATATATAGAGTTATATGTTGTGCCACTATGTACTGATAGATGCATAGTTAAAGATATTTGCATTTTATTTTCCTTGGAGTTCTAGACAGATCTCTTTTCTTAACTGCCTAGGTCCTGCCATTGACTTGGAAAAAGTAAAGTCAGAATGTCTCGAGCCCGAGCCGGAGTTACGGAGCACTTTCAGTGAGGAAGCAAATACGTCGTCCTATTACCCCGCTCCTGCACCTGTCATGGACAAGTATATCCTAGACAATGGCAAGGTAGTGTGCCAAGCTCAATACCGCTTCCCTGCGAGTGTCTGTCAGTCAGAGTCGAGATGGAGCGGGTGCGGGGCTTCCCGGCCTGTCCCTAAGGGATGCTTTCCGGAATCGGTGTGTTATCACGAGTGGACCTTTCCTGGGACTTCTTTCTTTTCCTCGTCATTTGGTTTGTTGTTGTTTTTTAATTATTGAGCCAAAACAGCTAACACTAACCTGACATTTTAAAATAGCTTATTAGTGAGAAAGATTTTTTTAAAAAGATAGTTTGAAAACTGCCCTGCCCTTCCACGAAACCAGATGCCTAAATTTCTAAGGTGAACAAGAAGTGAACTGATTGAGCTAGGTCATGAGTCAATATGTATCCACTGACCTGGGTGTCAGGGACACAGAGGTGACTGAGACTTGATTCTCGTCCCTGCGCTGCTTTCTGAGCATTGAGTGTGGTCAGTCCACAAATGACTCCTCAGCTTTTCTTTTAGACCCTCGTGGGGAGGGGCGGGGGGATCATGAAAGAAAACCTAAACACTGTTAGCAACTAAAGCAATGGAATGGCCTTCGGAAGCCGTTCCATCAGTCACAGGGAGATCCGGCAGCAGGGCAGGGAGAAAGCTGGTCTAACACCCAAGTGAACTCACCTTGGAAGAGGAACAGCAAAGCCCCTTATTCAGGCACTGGCCCAAGGCCTCCCTTCCAGTGCTATCTTCTCTGCCACCACCGCATGGGTTGCAGACATCCCCTCCTTTCTTCCCAGAGAAGCATCTGTGTCAGTTTTCTTTGCCTCAGGCTTCAAAGGTCTCTGTTTACCCAGCTCTGTTCCCCTGTGGGCTGATGAGAAAGAAAAGGTTGCATTTGGATTTGTCCAGAGGTATCCTTGCAGCTGGCCAGACTGAGCCAAGGCAAATACAGTCAAGCTGAGGAAAGAAAGCTATGGTCTTGAGAGCTCTCTTGGATGTGGTGCCATCCCACTGGGCACTTCCTCCCCGCAGAAGCAGAGTTGATGGGCCAGCCCACCGGCCCATTCTGCATCTCCTTGTTCCAGCCAACAGCAGGGGCGAGGTGGCAGCAGGAAGGCCGGAGCCTGACAGGCAGGTCCTTCCCTCTCTAGGCCTCAGCTTCCATGTCTGGGAAGGTGGATGTGGTCCATACTCCCTGGGACTTTGGTGACTCAGACAGTATCTCTGAGCTTGGTGAGCCCTTCCCAATTGAAGTAAAGGAAAGAAAGGACTGTTCTTTCTTCTCTGACTTCCTTTCAGTCATGATCACATTGTGGAATGACTAGGGACTTTTTCTTAAAGCAGCTTCCAAGAGAGATCCTGTGTGTCTTGCCTTGAAAGCTGATGGACAGTTTCTGAGGGCGACAGGGCTTCTTTTGCAAAGTTATCACTTTTCCTCAAAAAAATGGGTCTCTTAAATCTCTCTTAATTTTTTTCATACGTGACTTGCACAACATTTCTTGAAAATGCCGATTTTGTTTTTTCTTCGGTTGGTGCCAACATGTTACTAACCTGGCTTTTGTTTGCAACTAGTCTGTGGTCAGGCAGAGAGCTGGATGAAAGGAGAGAAAGAAGCGACATATTGGAAACGTGTGGCAGCTCCCCAGAGCGGCACCCGCATCCCAGAAGTGGCCCTCATTGTTCTTGGCTGGGCTGTCATTTCTGATCCTTCCTTCTTTCCCCTGCCGAACAAAGGCCTTCATCTCTGCAAAGCCTAGAGCCGTGGTCGGCAAACTACAGCTCATGAGCCACATGTGGCTCGTTGGCCCCTTGAGTGTGGCTCTTCTACAAAATATCTCGGCCTGGGCTCTCTTGGATGTGGTGCCATCCCATTGGGCGCTTCCTCCCCGCAGAAGCAGAGTTGATGGGCCAGCCCATCGGCCCATTCTGCATCTCCTTGTTCCAGCCAACAGCAGGGGTGAGGTGGCAGCAGGAAGGCCGGAGACTGACTTTTAAGCCCAGCTCGCACTCTGCCCTACTTGTGACCCAGGCAGGTCCTTCCCTCTCTAGGCCTCAGCTTCCATGTCTGGGAAGGTGGATGTGGTCCATACTCCCTGGCACTTTGAAGAAGTGGGGTTAGAAGAAGTTTAAGTTTAAAAATTTGGCTCAAAAGAAATTTCAATCGTTGTACTGCTGATATTTGGCTCTGTTGACTAATGAGTTTGCTGACCACTGGCCTAGAGCATTAAAATAGAATCTGTTTCCCAATAGGAAACTACTGTTGTCCTACAATACAGTCCACAAAGACATTCTCTTATCAAGTACCATCCTATCAGATGTCATGTTTTTAATAGCCTCCCTTGACCACTAGCGAACTGTGGCTTATGTGAATGGTGCTTCCACAAGAGTTACTGTCTGATTTCGATAAAGTGCATTGCTTTTTTTTTTTTTTGTCTAAGTATTTTATTTCAAAAACTCATCGAATCATAAAGCCACAAAGACCATTCACATTTAAACAGTCTAATATACATGATACTCACGGGGCCATACACCAAGAAACCTGTCTACAGTAGTACAATACGTTAGAGGCACGAAGGCAGGTCTCCTGGTTCCAGGCCAGTGCTCCTTCTAGCCTATTCTGCCGCATCCCTGAAAGTGGGGCAGTGGTTGGCAAACTCATTAGTCAACAGAGCCAAATATCAACAGTACAACTATTGGAATTTCTTTTGAGAACCAAATTTTTTAACCTGAAACTTCTTCAAAATAGACTCGCCCGTGGTATTTTGTGGAAGAGCCACACTCAAGGGGCCAAAGAGCTGCATGTGGCTCTCAAGCCGCAATTTGCCCACCACAGCTCGAGGTGACCCCGAGCTTCACTGACCTCAGAGCCCTTGTTCCAGATACCCAGCACAGATACCTGTGATGGTCTTGCTTGTGTGAGTGAATGTCACAGGAAAGATTTCCTTCTCCAAAACACAGCAACTCATCAGAACTGAAAGCCAGTGCCCTGAAAACGTATTAAACATGCCGTCATGTTCTTACTTTGTGTTCGGACTAGTCCTGATCACTTTGCAGGGGACGGAGATGCGGAGCCTAGGCGCCCTCCTGCCCTCCCCCCCCCAAGATATCACTGTGAAGGGCTGATTCAGGTGCTGAGGGCTCTCTCCAGGCTAGAAATCCAGAGGGAGTAGAACCTAGCTCTGGGGTAGAACTTAGCCCCAGAGTAGTTAGAAGTGTTTTCTGTATTTGGACTGAGGCTTGAAAGATTAGCAGATTTAAGAAGACAATCCCTTCATTCATTCCTGGACAGGGGAAAGGTATGAGTTGAGACATGGGTGGGGAAGGAAGGTAAAGGAAGTAAGTTACTGGCTGTGTGCTGTCCTGAAAGTTGTGTGTGTGTTTTTTACGCATTTATAATAATTCTCAAAACACCCTGTGAACTAGGGGTGGTCTGCCTGTTGTACAGCTGAGAAAAGGGAGGCTCGGAGAGGTCAAGTGATTTGCCCAGAATACTCAGCTGTTAGGTAGAAGAGCCAAGATCCACAACTGGGGACAGGCTCCAGGCCCATGTTCTCGGGGTGCACAATGGCAGCAGGAGGAAAGGAAGTGCTCGGGAGGTTCCTAGAGTGATGGCCAGAGCAGGGAGACGCCAGGAAACAGGGTCCTGGAGGCCTTCAGAGCCGGCAGAGGAGGTCAGATTGGATGGGACAACAAACGGGGAGCCATCCGAGGCTCCAGGGGCTTGACATGAACCACGTCTTTCACAGATTTTGAGAGAGACTGCGGAGTTCATCTAGTCAAAGAAGGAAAGCCGTTTAGGGAAGTCAGTCTGGCAGGTTACAGGTTGGGTGGAGGCAGCAGGGACTGGAGGCCGGCGGGCCAGCCTGCGGCTTTTCCCGGGTTCCCTGTGTGCAGTGGGGCCGCCAGGGACAGACAGGCAGATGCGGAGGAAGGATGGCTAAGTGAACGCTGGTGGACCTGCTGCTTCCACCGTGACACTGGCTGCAGCAGGAAGGTGGCTTCGGGGCCATACAGATTTGGGTTTGAATAATATTCTACATATCATCAATAACGTGTCTTAGGGAAAAGCAATTTAGTCCCCTGCGACTCTCTTCATGTCTGTGAAATGGGAATAATGTCTACCTATTCTCATCCCTTAAGGTCAGTGTGAGGCTAAATAAATTGAAGGTACAATGCCTGGTTCCTCATAGGTGCTCAAAAATATCTGTGCCCCCTTCTGTGGTAGAACTTTGGCTAAAATGACTGTCATCTCTCTTTTAACAATAAGGAGGGCCCGGGAGAGAAAAGAGCGGAGACCTGAGAAAATTGAAGTGATCTTCCATCTCTGTGGTTTTCCAATCCTGAATCTGTCCAGATTCCTAGTTTTTCCCCAATCTCTGGGAGCTTGCGTGGGTAGCTCCGGAGTGTCATCGGGGAGGTGACTGGGGTCCAGCAGAGAGCAGCAGGGTACGTGTCCTCAGTATGCCTGCCCTGGCACAGATGGCCTGCCTGCAATGCAGACTGCAGAGAACAGTTCAGACTTGACCTTGGGCTAGTGTTGCCCGGCCAGCCCCAGGCAGCACACGCACTCCAGGCTCGCTTACCTCCTGGAGCCCCATGAACAGATGGGCGGCACTGAAGTTTGCGGCCCAGGGAGGCAGGTGGATCTGCTTATCTGAAGTCATGCCCGCAGAGGTCTGGAGGATCTTTTTGAGCAAAAGGCAGTGACGTCAGCTGTGGCAGGTGGATGATTTGCTTACTGACAGCCATGGGTGGGTTGTGTTGCTTTTTCTCAGTGGCGGTAAAACCTCGATAATTGGTGGTGGAGGAGTGCTGTTGGCTGACCCGTCTGCCGCTGTGCAGTGCTAACCTTCCTTTCCAAGGCAAGCCTCAGCAGAAAGACCTTTAGTCATCTTTGACCAGTGGGAGTGGGTGCCATCTGTCAGACCAGGACTTCTCCCGAGACATCGCCTGACCATGCCGTGGTGGCGACCTGCAGGTCCTTCGGAGACAGGGACCTTTGGCAGAGCCTTTTCATTCCCCTTAGAAAGTCTGGCTTATTAGCGGCTGTCTCCCTTCCTCCACAGCGGCCTCTTCACCCTCCACAGACTCAGCAGAAACACAACACAAATGGCCATGCCGGAGTCAAACTCTATTTTTTGATGGTTAATGTTAACAAATGTTTCTGAATTGTTAAAAGAGCCAGGAAGGAGAAAAAGTTTACAAGCTTGCAGCTTACTGACAGTGCTGGAACTCTCTGAGCGCTCCTGTACCTGGAGCATGCAATTGCGTTCTGTGCTCTGTGCCATCAGAATCGGACTCCTGGGTGGTGTCCAATGTAAAATCCTAGGTGTGCTGAGCCAGAGGAGCGTAAAGATAAATACAGCCCTGGCAGGTTTGGCTCAGTGGATAGAGCATCAGCCTGCGGACTGCAGGGTCCCAGGCTTGATTCCGGTCAAGGGCACATGCCCAAGTTGCAGGCTTGATCCTCAGAAGGAAGCCAATCAATAATTCTCTCTTATCATTGATGTTTCTATCTCTCTCCCTGTCACTTTCTTTCTGAAATCATTAAAATTTAAATATATATATATATATATATATATATATATATATATATATATATAAAATTAAAAAAAAAAAAAAAGATGAATCCAACTCTTCCGGTTTGAGTTCAGGGAAACTGGAGCCAGAGACGGGGAAGGACCTGCACAGACACACTGTCTGATCAGTGGCAGAGCCTGGGTGCTGCCCCCACCCAGCTGTACACTGGGGTCACCTGGGGAGCCATCAGCCATCCTGGTACCTAGGCCCCTCCCAGATGATATAACTCAGAATCCCTGAACGTGGTGCCTTGACACTGGCCTTTTTTTTTTTTTTTAGCTCTCCAGGTGGCCCAGGTGCGACCATGCAGAGAGCCTCTGTGCTAGGAGGATGTGCATCCCGGGGTGTTTACCTTAGAAGGAGAGGGTCTCTCTAACGTGTCGCAGAGAAAGGGCTTGCCAGGTGTGGGCCTGAAGCCTGGCCAGGCTCTGCGCGGCCTGTGCTCAGTGATCTGGTTGAGAACTCCAGGTCTGCACCTGCCTCGTTGAGAGGCTTCGGGCCCATTGCTTCCCCTTCCTTAGCCTGGTTTTTCCATCTGCAATGAAAATAGTGGCCCAGCACTTCCTCCCAGGGGGGCCAAGAAGAACTGAGATAGTGACCGTGAAGTGCAGGAGTAAGATCTGGTATCCCGGGAGCGAGGACCACATTTCCCTTAAAGAAAGCTAAGGTAGCATTTACGGAACGAGCCCCTTAGCGTTGTGCAGGAATGTCTTTTAAAGGACAAGGAAGCTTCCAGCTGCCATGCTGTCCGACTGAGCAGGTGTTTGCGTTCCTGTCCCTTCCAGGTCCATCTGGGAAGTGGGATCTGGGTTGACGAGGAGAAATGGCACCAGCTACAAGTAACCCAGGGAGATTCCAAGTACACGAAGAACTTGGCAGTCATGATTTGGGGAACAGATGTTCTGAAGAACAGAAGCGTCACAGGAGTTGCCACAAAAAAAAAGAAAGATGCCGTCCCTAAGCCGCCCCTCTCGCCTCACAAATTAAGCATCGTCCGAGGTAGGTCACTGCAGAGGAATGCTGGGGAGCAGGGGAGGGGGCGGGGGGCACTGTCCTGTCCTCTGCTATGGTGAGCCAAGCACAGCTCAGCACACCCTGGGGCTCCCATGCCAGGCCAGGCTGGGCTCCGGGACTCAGGAGCAGACGTGCATCTGGTCCCAGAAGAGCTCCATTAGCTGCAAATGGGCCCATGGACATGGAGCAGTGTATGGGCAGGCATGGAGAGGGGCAGGCCGTGTGTCAGGAAGTTTGTTCTTGGGCGGAGGAGTCACGGCCGGAAGTCAGGGCAGGATTTCTGGGGGAGGGTCACTGCATTGGGCCCTGAAGGGTCCATGAGACATGGAAATGCAAATATGTAGAGAGAGATACTTCTGGAAGCAGAAGCATCTGGAACAAAGGCAGGGAGATGGAATGGGAGTGCTGCTGTGTGCAGAGCAGAAGTCAAGGCTGGGCACACTCTGTGCAGCCCTGCATTGTGCCCAGAGCAGTTAATGGCGTGCAGGCCTGTGAGGGGCACTGGTTCCAGCTTCTTTTTTGGTGTTTGGGGAGGATTGGGGGCCAGCAAAGAGACAGGGTGTCGTTGGTATCCCTAAAAATACAGCTATACCCTGGACGCTCTGATTTCCCTCCTTCTCTCCTCCTATCCTCCCTCCCTTCCCCCATCTTCCTTCTTTCCTCTTCTCTCCTGCCCTCTCTCTATCCCGTCACTAAGCTCTTATTCCCAGCCAGCCCTGTGCTGGGTATTGAGGACACAAGGAGGGATAAGCACAGTCTCATCTGTAAGGACTCAGTCTTTCAGGGAAGAGGAACATAAGAACGGCCAGTTACTGCGCAGATAACACAACTCACAGAGGCCAGGGCAGTGCAGGCGGCAGAGTACTCTAGTGGTTGCTAACTATCTGAGCACCTGCTGTTTCAGGTTCTTGGGGTTTCTTAACAGTTCTGTTTTTAAAAATTCGTTTACGGGCACTAACTCATTTAATCCTCCTAACACTCCTACTGTGGGCTCCTCTCATTACCCGTTTCACAGCTGAGGACGCCGAGGTGCAGCTGCTAAATAACTTGTCCTGAACACAGAGCTGGCCGGGTGGGGCCAGGAGTCCAGGCGAGAGGCCGACTCAGAAGCTGCGTTTCTAACCCCTGGTCTCCGAGTGGCCGGAGCCGGGCACATGTAAGAAAGTAGCGCCCAATCAACCCCACATACACACTGAGCAGGCCCCGTGGCAGGTCAGGGCCGCTGGCAGCTGTGTCTGTGAACAGTCAAGGTCATTTCAGGTGGGAAGGGGAGGGCTGTGCGGCTGGTGGTGGGAGGCCTGTTTGAGGAGGTGAATGTGAGCTGGGAACAGGATGTGCAGGGGGCAGCCCAGGGTGCTGAACAGGCAGAATAAAGAGCAGGTACAAGGGCCAGCACGCTGAAGGGGTGAAGAAGTCCTGGCAGCCATGGCATCGTGAATGAGGGGAGAGGGAGGTCAGGAAGGTGGGCCAGAGCCAGTCTTGAGGCTGTGAAGGCCGAGGTGAGCAGGCTGGATTTATCCACTTAACAGGAGGAAGGCAGTGAGGGCCTCACATGTGGAGTAATCAATGGGTTAGCACTGAGAGGAGAAGAATGACCAGACTTGGGTGTATTTTGGAGGTCAGGAGGCAGGACACAGACATGGTGATCAGCCTGAGGTCACAGCCATAAGGTTTCAATGCCTGGATTCTAACCCACTCCCCTAGGCCCTGGCCTGGGGCTTGCACTGTATAGCACACTGCCTGCCTTGCCTGGCTGACTCAGGATTAATTTATTTAGGCAGCCATCTCTATTTAGACAATCAGAGGTAACCTTCAGTCGGCCCACTGTCTGAAATGGTGGAGCTTAATTTGAGCGGTCACCCTAGAGATAGAGGCCTCATCTCTCATCACTTCCCCTTTCCTTCCAGGGGAGGCAGCCCTGGCCCACCTGATAGGTGGCAGAATTCTATTTCCCTTATTCATGTTGGAATGCGACTCTCAGCAGGTCCCAGGTGCTTTCATGACTGGCCGCCCCACTATCGCTGCGGGGTACGAAGTCGCCTGCCGTGTATCTGCCTCAGGCACTAGTCTAACCATACCGGCTTCATCTCCAGGTCCTCATGTCTAGCACAGGGCCTGCACACAGTAGGAGCACAGGAAAGGAGGGCTGACCAAGGAAACCTTGAGACCTGACCTCCATGTCTGTTTCCTCAGCTGAAAACCTGCCTGTTAGGACAGTTAAGAGGACTGTCTAGGATAAGGTGTCCAGACGTTCTGCTTTTGGCGGGACAGTCCCGATTTTTTGAAAGAATGCAGGACAAGCTAGGGAACAGCGGGAGAACGGGAAGGGAATATACGGTTTTCGGCGGCCATGTAGCTATTTAGCCAGGATGTGTGTTTTATATTATTTTTGTTAATTTTATAGTGTTAAATTTTAATGATAACAAATCATTGCTGAGAACTGATTATCGAGAACTGCTTATCAAAGTTCACATTGTTGATCAGTTGTTAGAATTCACTCAAATGAGAAATATGCCAAAGAATAAAATAATACTATATATAATTTTTATTTATTTATTGTATTTGTAAATTGTACTTATGTTGAAATTTAAAAAATATATATTATGATACTATTTTTGCGTTCTATGAAAATTTTTGCTGCTCCAAAATTTTTAATCAAGAACCACCCCCGCCCATCCCCCCTCCGTCAATGGTGTCCCGCTTTACCAATGTTAAAATCTGGTCACATTAGTCTAGGATTAAGTTTGGAAATAGTTATGTTTGAGGTGTGAGAAGTTATCAGCCTTTGCTGATAAGTGAGCTGCCTCTGTGTGGAAGTTCATGGTTGTTCAGTGCTTTTCAGCTGTGAGGCCTCCCCCGTTGGCTTCCTGTGCAATGTGCTTAATTTGAGGAACTGGGGGCAGGGGTCAGAAGCCTGGTGTTGAGTCCCAGCCCTGCTTTGGCTTAGCTTGGAGCTCACCCTGGTTCGTAGCTTTTCCTTTTGCTTCCCCAAGCCTAGTGCAGCGTGGGTACCAAGTAGATAGCTGGTGTCTGCATCTGTAAAGCCAGGATCACATCCTTATCCCGCCTCCCCAAGGGCCGAATAGACATCTTCACTGATGCTTTAAACCCATTCAGATGATAGGTCTATGCCACATGGGCAGGCTTACCTGGAGCCCCCATTCTCCTGCCTCTTGTCTGGAAAGAAGAGTTTCCTTCTCTTACTTGGGGCTGGGCATTCTTTTCATCTGTACTCTAGCCCACCTGCCTTCCTGAGTACCTGTTCCTCCAATTGCATTCTTGTTCTACTGGTTCCTTCCCCGCATGATTTAAATATGCTTTGATCACTTATTTACAAAACAAACATAACACTCCCCAGAGGCCACTGCCATCACCAGGCTGCCACCACATCTCTTCCTTTTCACATGAAGATTTCTTGCAAGAGTAACCCACACTCACTGCCTGTGTTCACTCCACTCACTGCCTAGCAACTCCCCTGCCATGGGGCCTCCACCCCCAGCCCTCTACTTCATCTGCCCTTGCCAACTCTCCCAATGACTTCTGCTTACTAAGCCCGGGCACATCTTTCACCTTCTCCCAGCACTGCGGGACATGACCACGCCTCCTTTACTGAGAACCCCCGGCCTGCACAGTCAGGTCCCCTCCTGCCTGTCTGCTTCTCATCCACCAGTGGGCTCCTCCTCCGCTGCCCTCTCCTCTGTCTCCAGCCCTCTCCTCACTCAGTCCACAAAGCTTTCCTCAGCCCAGCTCATGGCCCATTGTTACCACTGCCCTCACTGAGCCCATGGTCCTGGGCTCCTTATTCTGGCTGATGCCTGCTGACCCCTGCAACCTCATCTCTCATCACTTCCCCTTTTCTCCTGTGCACGAACCACGCAGACCTTCTCCCATTGCCTTCCCGATCCCACTGCCAGCAGTGCCTTCTCCCATCTGCTTGTCCTGCCTCCCCATTGTCCTTCGGGGAGCCCTTCCCCAGCTGCCCGGTCCAGTGCAGCCTTTCCTTGCTATCTTTTCACCCTAAAATGTCTGCATAGCATTTCCTCCTGGTTTATTTACTTAAAATTGTCCTTCTCCTCCACACCCATTAAAACATAAGCTTTATGGCAGAGTATTGAGGGCTAGCATCTATCAAATGTTCAATAACCATTTGTTGAGTCAATGAAGGATGACTCCTACATCTGTATTTAATCTCAGTCCATACTTCTGAGTTCCCACTCAGGTGCCCACTGGCTGTCTCCTCATGGTTGTCCCGTGGCCTTGGCAAAGCTGCCCACTCACTGCTCTCTCCTCCGGCTTTCTCCAAAGCCTCTGCCCGCTGTGTCTCCCGTCTTGGTGAATGGCTCCACCAACCAGGGACCTTGAGATGCCTCATCCTTGATGCCTCACTCCCTTTCTATTCTTCCCCAAGTACCTCTTACCCTGTCCTCTCCATCCACAGCCCCCTCATTGTCCAGGTCACACCACTTCTCCCCGCACTACTCCAGCAGCTTCCAGACCCTTCTCTCCATTGTGTAACTGTGTGATCTTTAGAAACAAAATTATGATCTTGTTACCATCACCTGTCATAGCCATTGTTAAAGGGTAAGCTGCTTAATGTGTCATACAAGCACCATTATAATGTGGCCGCTGGCTGTAGCTGCAGCCTTATTTCTCAGCAGTATTCCCTCAAACTCTTAAGTTCTTGTCATATGAACTATCGCATTCCCTTAACAAGCTAGCATCTCTCTCACGTTAGGGAATGTGCGGATGCTTTCCCAGGGCCTAGGTCACAGGTCATACTCCTCACACTACATCCATGTGGCTCTGCCCGGCTCTCTGCTACTCACCACCCAGGTCTGCTTGAGAGAACCTTCCTTCAGAAAGCCTCTTAGTCCAGAGTGCCCTGTGCCTACCTCTCTGCTCTTCTGTCCGTGGCTTTGCCTCCTGGGAGCCTGGCCCAGCAACCCCTTTGAGTCGAGAAGTGCTTGCCTGGCACTCAGTGAAAGGAAATTGACTCCCTCAAGGCCTTCACTGGCCAGACCAGAGCCAAACAGACCGAGATGGCAGGGGTGCCTTGCCCCAGTACCTATCTTACTGAAGACATTGCTGACTGACTGATTTCCTGCAGCCAGACAGGTCTGAGGGCTCTCTCCCATCCCACCACACACTCACCATTTGGGGCCTGATTGTTTGAGCTCTCCCAGACTGCATTTGACTGGCTTTCCCCACGCAAGCTGTCTGCTGGATTGAGATTGTATTTGCTTTCTATGATTTTATCACATTCAGCCATGTGTGCAGTATAAACATGACAAAAGCTTTGACGCTCACAGGGTTGGTGAGAATCGTCTCTTCTCTGATCTTAGAATCATTTCTTCCTGGATAGCAGGGGGTGGCATGGACGCTGACCCTGCTTTAGAAAGATGAAAGTCGGAGGGAGGGACAAGCTCCGGAATGACAGTGCAACCTTATTGAGGTCAAGTGACCTTCTGCAGAGTGGCAGAGTTTCCCTGAGCAGCCCAGCCCTAAGTTCTGGTTAATTTTTATAACTTTCTTAATAGGACACATTAGCACCATTATAAACCTCGTTAATTAAGCAGTAATCTCGCAGGCTCCCTCGCAGAGGGAGATGCTCCTGGCAACCGCAGATGATTAATATCTGGAGCCTCAGGAAAGCCTTTCCTCATCCCGAGGGGCCATTCAGCGCTCTCACCCCCGGCACACGATGATGATGATTGGAATTCTGCGGAGGCCCCTCTGAAGCCTCCCTCCGCCTGCACCCCTTTTCCTGCATCGTCTGCAGCTCACCTTGGGGGCTTCGAGGGCCCTCACACCTGCTCTCCTTCCTCTGCTCCTCTCTCCTCTGCCTCTTTACCGCCTCCGAACCTTCTGGAGGAATGTGTCTGGGTTATCTGGTCTGACATGCTGCCCTCCTAGGTAGTGAAATGGACCAGAGAGATTCCCACCAGAGGGTGCACAGCACCTAGGCTGAGAGCCAAACACCTGGACTTCAGAACTGTCCTCAGCGCAGGTGTCTCCCTCATTTGCTTTGGGTGCGAGCAGTCACTGCTTCCTTCTTGTCCGGGCCTGGACAGGGGATGCCACGTGCTCTGTTCTGTAGGAGGACAGTGTGGTTGCAGTCTTATTACTGTGATCAGTGCTTGGGCAGAGAAAGACCCAGGTGAGGGTGGGAGCACAGAGGTTGCAGGCAGAGTGGAGTCTCCTAACTCACACTGGTAGGTTCCAAGAAGGCTGAATTGGGAAGAATGTGTGGGATTTAGGCAGGAGGAGGCCTGGATCGGGGTAATCTTGGAAGAGAAGAATGAAGACACTGGTTTGTGGGACAGCCTGGAGTGAAGAGGCACTTCAGGTGGATAATAGTAGAGGTAGGAAGGGGGACAGACAGGGCCCCTACCTTCTTGTCTCAGTCCCGATAGAAAGACCAAGCCAAGAGAAAGTGGAGATTATTCGGGTGTAGTAGAGGTCCATGAAAAGTATTTAAAGTCTGCCTATGCAAAGCCGTAGGTGGGATGGGAGGGTGCCCCAGAGACAGGACGCCCACAGCACGTGCACCTGCAGCAGGATGGCACCAGGAGGCAGGCTGGCCACATGCCTGGAAAGACTGGGGGGGTTGAGAGGGGGCAGCAGTGGATTCTGCCCATCCTTCCTGCCTTCCTCCAGGCCTCAGGCCCCTGGCCTGTACGTGCAGGGTTAGCACAGGGAAGCCTCTGTGATCCCTCCCAGCCTTGACATTCCGCACCTGTACACAGATCTTGTGTGTTCTCCATGGCCATTCCTTAAGATCGGGTGGCCATTCCTGGTTTGTAGGTGAGAAAGCTTAGGCTCAAGGAAATTAAAAGTCTATCCCATCATGACTACCTAGTGGTATATTCCCCGCCCTCTTATGTCCAGAATTTTTATGTCCCCTCCGGTTTTGCTGGAGAAACGTTAATTCATTAATTTAACAGATATGTACCTAATCTTGCCTGTTCTGAGCACTATGCTAGGTGCTGGGAATGAACAGTCGTAAATACATAAAATAATTGTAACAGCCCCATATTGGTATAGTATTCCTTACAGTTTGAAGAAGGTTTGCAAAAAGTTTATCTCAGGTGCCTCAAGGCAGCCTTAAAAAGACACCCTTGATTTGTTGTCCTTGTTTGTGAGAGAAGGATCTGGTTAACGACTGGCACCAGGTCCCCAGGCTGGAGGTCAGGCCTTCCTTCAGCTCAGCAAATGGCAGCCTCAAAAAGCGGCTGTGCCCAGCCTCATTGTCAGTCACACAGTGAGACACCACTTCCCGCCCGCCATGTTATCAAAACCTAACAACTGACCACGTCCAGCGGAAAGCGTGGGCCACCAGTCCCCGCACACACTGCTGGGAGTGCCCGTCAGCTGGACCGCTTGGGAACACAGTTGGCTGGGCATCACTTAGTGAAGCTGACTGTGCACGCACCCTGACACGGCAGCCCCTCTCCCGGGCCGCCCTGGAGAACCTCCAGCACAGGTGCCCCAAGACAGCGCCCGGTGTTGGCAATTGCAAAACCCTGGAAACCACCCAGGTACCCACGGGCCGTGGACTGCAGCGCAGGCTGTGGAATAGTCACACAGTAGGGCACCACTCTCCAAGGGAAACAGATGACCTGCAGCTTACACTTGAACTCGGGTCAATTTTAAATCTTTAATATGGAGGGGGAAAGGAAGTCAGATTCTAGAGAGTATGGGAACACTTATAATAAGTAAAAAAAAAAAAAAAAAAAAAAAAAAAAAAAAAAAAAAAAAAAAAAAAACTGGGGAAAGGAACCAATACCTCATTTAAGGATGTGTGCGTTTGTGTTAACACTACAAGAAAAAGAAAAGCAGAAGACTGGTTACCTCTTGTGAGGACAAGAGAGGGTAGGGAGGGGGAGGGCACTGGGGGCTTCGGAGGAGAGCTGGGGCGCAGGCACACAGGTGTTTTATCATTATTTTTAAAGAATACATTTACTGTATATGGGTTTTGTCTGAAAATCTGAAGATATTGCTATGCCAGGTAAGTGAGTTGGTATTTGGGAAATGGCAGGAATCACATCTCCCCTCCCCCCTCCAAAGATTTACCTCAAGTTCCCCATTAATCCTCGGCCTTCCTGTTTCTTTCCCCTGTCCAGAGTGTTTATACGACAGAATAGCACAAGAGACTGTGGACGAAACAGAAATTGCACAGAGACTCTCCAAAGTCAACAAGTACATCTGTGAGAAGATCATGGATATCAATAAATCCTGTAAAAATGAAGAGCGAAGGGAAGCAAAATACAATTTGCAATAAACTTTGGATTTTTTCATAAAGCCTTCTCGTTTTCCTTGTGCGGCGTGTGATTTGCGGGCCAAGGTGCCGTCCGGATCAGACCCGCAGCGCCGGTGGCGCATGGCAGGGAGCCAGTGGGGTTCCGGGGTCGCGGCTTGTGCTGAACTTGGACCTCCCACTTCAAAGAAGGCAGATGGATGTGCTGAGCCTCGGGCTTGCCCGGCCCCGGTGTTGTTCCGGGGATGGGAAAATGTCCTTTCGGCGGGGGATGGAGTGTCTCTGACCTGCCTGTCACTTGACCCAGAATTCAAACTGATATTTTTACCATTCAAGGACTTTTATCTCTGTTTCTCTATTTTGTTCTATAATAAAGCTCATTAATTCTTTGATGTAGATCATTATTATCCTCACTTATTTAAGGATATTAAATGTACAGTGGAGGCGACTAGTGTTTGAGGGAGGAACACTCGGGCCGAGGGAGGGAGAGTTCGTAAGGGATGTGCTGCTGACTGCAGCTGCGAAGGGCTGTCTCCAGAGCAGATTGCTTTCTCCTGCTTCAAAGGACAGATCTAGGACCAGTCGCCTTTCTCACTCAGCCTTTCTCACTCAAGGTGACCAGAGATTCGGCTTCTGGATAATTTGAGCCGAGTGGGGGCAGTGATGTTAGATGTGGCCTAGAGTTGCCATGGGGAAGTCGGGGGCAGGTCACCTGCTCTCAGTTTGTTTCTCTTATCTTGTATCTCAAGCGATCTTTCATGTTACATAGTTTTTATCTCATTCAGCAGCTGAGTCTCCAAGGTGCCTGGTGCGCAATCTGACAAACTACCTTTGATCTTCCTGCTGATTTGCACTTTCCTCTCTGTGATGCCTTGTGAAGTCCTCTTGGTACATTGGGATTGGCGAGCACCTGGGTTCCAAACCTCGCCCCCCTGTGCTCTGGTTTTAACCTCACCTCTTCTGTTTCCTAAGGAGATGGTATCTACCTTACAGTGTTGCCATAAGGAATATATATATTAGTATATGTGTGTGTGTATATGTATATATATATATATATATATATATATATATATATACACACACACACACACACACACACACACACACACAGGGCTCCTAATATATATATTCCTTATGGCAAATCTGTGCGCCAGTAGCTCACTGCCACCCTCCAGAAGCTCTCTGTCCGCTACCCCACCCTCCTATAGCTCCCTCCACCCCTACCACTCCCCGCATAGCTTGCTGTCCTGCCCCCTCCTGTAGCTCTCCACTGCCTGCTTGTAGCTCACTGCCTCACTCTCCTGCTGATCAGTGATCTGGTTGTTATCTGGTCAGTCATTATGCTTCACGGTGTAATGACCATTTGCATATTATATCTTTAATATATATATATATATAATAAATGTTGGCATTATTATTTTTTCTTAATTTTTGGTTATTGGCTTTTAGGCATTGGTTGAAAACGTTGGCCTCTTATTTGTCTAATGGATTATCCACTACTAGACCATAAAACCACTGGTCTGTAAGCGAAAGCTCAGGGTCCTTGACTTGAGGATATTCAGTGTAAGAGGAGGTGACCCACTGAGGGCGTAAGAAGGGAGGTGGCTGCCTCTGAGGAATTTTATTCTATTAATAGTAAGTAAAATAATCCTTTATAACGTGATCTACTATATGCTCACTAATAGGATATAGAGGTGAATTTTCTTTACTGGTATTTTCCTAGCTGTCCCCAAACTAGCAATGTCATCTTGGACCAATCACTTAACTTCTCAGAGTGCTTATCAGTATAATGAGAAAAGTAATGCCTATGGCACAGGCTATATGGGTAATTAATAGTAATAATGGCAGCAACAATGGATACAAATATGTGCCAGAACTTTCCTAAATGTTTACTGTAGGATCCTCATTGCATAAGGTCAGTAAGGTTAGGGGCAGTCGTGTTCAATAAACTCTTGCTATCAGATGTGCTCATTTCAGTGGCATGGGGTGGCTTGGGCATGTGTCATATGGAATGCATGAGAGACTGGAAGAGGATGCGTCGTCCTGGAGCTCATCCCTCCCCACTAAGCAGGGCAAAGGCACAAGCACCAGACAGCTGTGCACTTCTCTGCAGAGACCGATACAGTGGAAGCCTCTCCATAGGAGCTTTTAGACAGGGGGGAAATAGGGTGGAGATCTATGTTTAGAAACTGCTACGACACAGGTGAGAGTGCTCTGTGTGATATATGATGCACATGCTAGGGAGAGAGCAAGGTTGTGAAAGATGTTGGGAACTGAGTTCGAATTCTGACTTTACCACTTCTGGGAGATTACCTGATCTCTCCGGGACTTGTTTCTTCTAAAGTGGAAATAATGATCCCTAACACGGAGCTGTCATGGGGAGAGATCCAGGTGGCACCTGGAGAGGGGCTCTGTAAGTCTCTATAGGCCACGCGCATGCTAGTGACCCTTAGCTTGTCAGGCGGGATGAAATCAGAAGTGGGTGTGGCAAGGAAGCACCCGAGAGCCAATTTTGACAGGAGCAGGGGACGCTGAACACGCTGGTTACTGAGAGGTTTCTGAGCATCCGCTGTGTACCTGAGCATCCTGTTACTGCTAGATGAGGGCAAGGCCATGTTCTTACACCCACCCAAATGAGGAAATGGGCAGAGTTAGCAGGGGAGCTGGGTCAGATCCAAGTCTGTGCAATGTCTGCCCTTTTCATCTTCCTCGAAAGGTGAGTGGGCATTATGGTCTGCGCTGAGAATCTAGCTGTGTCATCTCAGGCACGTTCAGGAGAGGCCTGGCCTAAGCAACCAGTCAATGGAAATCATTCCCATTAATGGAAGCCATTTGGAGGGACTGGGAATAGCACTAATTAGGAGGGTTCACAGTTTATTACATTCGCAAAACTCAAGTGGTTTTTGTGTTAGACAAGGATTTCCTAAACTTTCCCAATCTTAAGGATTTGCTGAGGTGATTAAAACACAGATTCCTGGGCTCTGGTTTGGAGAGCTGCATTCCGTAGCTGGGAGAGGGAGCTGTATTTCAGCACCAGGGCTGCTGTTGAGCAAGACTGGTGTCACAGAAATCCTGTTTTAAGAACCAAAAGAAGTGATTCCGAAGTGAGACAGCGTGCTCCCTCTAACGTGCCTGAGGACACCTGAAATTGAGAATAAATTCTCCCAAGATCTGAGGATCTGCCTGAACCTCACTGAGAGCCCTCCTTCATGCCCACTGCGTGCTGTTCAGTTGGCCACAATGTGGAAGGTGGCTTCCAGCCCGGGCACCCATGATCTCCTCTCACTTTCACCCTTCGGTTCTTTCTCTCCATCCCTTTCTTTCGGTGCCAGTGTGCTGTGGGGGACAGGAGGTCACTACTGAGCCGGCAGGGCCTGAACCAATGAGGCCGGGCACTGTCTTCAGAAGCCCTGGCGGCAAGTCCCCTGTTGCAGATGAAACATGAGGATGTGGCTTGTTTGTATTTTCTGGCTGAGGAAAGTTTGTTAGTGACTGCTATGTGCCAAAGGGTTTCTTGGGTCCATTTCTAAATCATGCCATTTTTGTAGTTACAAAGGAAAACCACTTTAAAGAAATTTGGGGGAAGTAGGGGAAACATCCCAGCTTGCATTGCTGCAAGTGTTGTGCTGTGGCTCTTCCGGTCTTCCCAAGGCGCAAATGTGTATTGTATGCGCCTGTGATCATAGCATACAGCAGGCTTGTGTCCTTTCCTTTCTGTTTAACACTCTTTCCTGTTGCTCCGGGAAATTATCGCCAACAGTTCCAACATTCACTCAGTGGACAGACATCGAGCTGCAGCCATCAAACATCTGGCCAGCTGTGTGGCTGACCCTCGGGGCTGCCCGTTCATAAGAGGCCGTGCTGCACGCGTGGTAGAGCGAGCTTGGTTTCGGAGGTCATTGCATGGGAGTCCAATTCCCAACTCCAGCACCTTCTACCCGCCTTAGAGTGACTCACTTTATCTTTCTGAACACCATCTTCTTCATCTGCAAAACGGAGAAAATAATGTCCAATTATGGAGGACTGAGACTAATTAAAGTGCCGCCGTGAGAGTGTGTAATTGGCCAGCAACCTACATCTCCCCTCCCCTCTCTTCCCCTTCCCCCCACTCCACTCCCCTTCCCTCCCACCCTCCCCTCCCCTCCCTTTCCCTCTATGCCCATTCAATCTTCACCTGAGTGTACTCCTATCTTGTGTCTGACCTGTTTTGACCTTGGCTTTCATACCTGCCTTTGGCTGTTCAGACACCTTATGCTCACCAATAGTGCCCAGTACTCACAGGCCTTTCCCTGTGCACACGGGCCTCAGCCCCACCTCTGCCACCCAGCTGGCCCATTTGCCTTCCTGGAATTTTTAGGTTGTTGATGAATAGTTTTGTTTTCAGTATATATCACTTTCTTAGGGTTGATTTTCCTGGATTAAAAGGAGTGACATTTTTATATTCTTTGATGCACATAATGGGTGTGACCATTGTTTACATTATTTTGCCAACTTAGGTGAAACCAGTGCCTCATTAAGCTTTCTTTGATTACTTCCAAGACTACACATCTCTCCAGAGTTTGGTTTATTGGAAACAAAAATTAATAGCTTAACCTACAAGCATCTCCAGTAGAATCCATTTCATTTTCTGTGTTTAGTTTTGTCTGGGTCAACATGTTTACTCTGGGCATATAATTTTCACTTTGATGTCAGAAAATAGACGTACCAGCAGATACGGTTATCATGTCTTTTGAAGGGATTGGTCAGTTTCTGCCAAGCAGTTTCAGAGACTCATGGAAGCTAAGGGTCAAGAGTGAACTTATGGGTCTTGTGCCCAGATCTCTCTCCATTGGTTTCCACACCATGCTTGCCTACCTCCAGGAGTGGGAATTCATCCTCCTACCAGAGAGTCCACTCGGTCACTGCCATTACTAAGATGCTCTCTCCTGGAGCACCCTGAGACCTCTCAGATCATTCAGGTCTCTCCACTGAAGCTACACAGAGCCCTTGGGAGAGTTGAAGGTGGCAGTCATGTCTCTGCTCCGACTAATAAGTAGGTCAAGTTCTGTTTTATCATTTTTCACACAAGGGACACTGCGCAGGAAACAGTGGAGACCCTAGATAGATTGATTTAGAGAGAGAAATATTTGTTGGTCTACTTATTTATGCATTCACTTGTTTCTTCTTGTATGTGGCTGGACTGAAATCAAACCCACAACCTTGGCATATCGGGACGACATTCTACCCAACTGCCCAACCAGGGCCCGAGACTTGGGACTCAGAAAGCTGTGTGTTTAAATGCTGACTGCCACTTATTAATATATGATCTTAAACAAATTCTTAACCTCTCAGCTTTAGTTTTTCATTTAAAAATGAGAATATGATACCCCCCTCGCCAGGTTGCATCAGGACTATAG